GTCACCCACCAGCTGTGTCAGGAAGTTATCTTCCACACTCTCCAGGAACCTCCTCGATTGTTTACTCACTGCTGTGTTGTATTTCCAGCAGTCATCTGGAAAGTTAAAGTCCCCCCCAAGGACAAGGGCACACGATTGAGACTACTGTCAGCCGCTTGTAGAACGATTCATCCGTCTCTTCAACCTGGTTGGGTGGTCTATAACAGACTCCCAGCACAATATCAGCCTTACTGGCTTTCCCTCTCATCCTCATCCATAAGCACTCCACCTTGTCATCAGAATCATGCAGCTCTGTACAGTCAAAACATTCTCTAACATAGAGAGCCACCCCACCACCTCTTCTACCTTGCCTATCCCTTCTGAAGAGCTTGTAGCCATCCATTGCAGCACTCCAGTCGTGCGAGTCATCCCACCATGTTTCCGTGAAATCACCCCTCACACATGGGGCGCATTGCATTTACTGAGTGCTTCTCCCGCTGTCCAGCTTTCTAGAGAGTTAAACCCTGATTTAGGCTTTTTCTGAGAAAATGATAGCAGAATTCCCACTCTGGTTTTGCATATCTGCAGCCAGCTGACCCCGGCAGGCCTGTCCAGCTGCTCTGCGCCCCAGCTGCCACCATACCCATCCCATCCTGCTGGCTTTGGTACAGCCATGCTGAGTCCCAGAGAAGTCAAGGGTTTGCAGCCTCACACCAGGAGCTGTGCTGCTGCCCCCCTCCCCTTCCTGCACCAGCCATGGCCAAGCCAGGGTTAAAGTCAAAAGGGCAGGGAGCAAAGGTATGGCCCCAGAGCCCTGCCCCACACCAGCTGCATCTGTAAAGATAAATCCACTGCCCAAGAGAAGCAGATGAGCAGCAAAGACTGCAAGCAGGACCAAAAAAAAAAAAAAAAAAAAAATCCCTTTTTGTGGGCCTTGGAAAATGCCTGAGAGAAAAGCTCCAGTAAGTGGCACAGATAAAAACCGTAGGTGAAATGGTGCCTGCCATCTCTGCACGGTAATGCCTGACCTCAATATTAACTGGGGGTACTAAATTTTCCTGGCTGACATAATTCCACTAGTGTTTATAGCATAACAATAGGAAATCATTATTTTACTAAATCTCATTATTCTTAAAAAAAAAAATTGTATTTTTTACAGTGTTTTCTCTACTTCATGTAGGACTATCCTCCTGCCAGGCCAGAACACGCGCCCGTTGGGGCCAGGGCATACCAGCCTGCAGGTCTCATCTGCACACACCGGCACTTCAAGGTTTCCTCCACAGAGTTCAGACCCTGACTGTCTTATGGGAAAGTCCTGTTTATCCCATGTATTTGCCATCACAGAGATTATTTTTTTGAATTCTCTTTTTATGGAAAAAATTTTGAAATCTTGTATCCATTTTCTCCATTTCCCTTCCTACCATTTAAATGGTGTCACTTTCTTGCAGTAAGATGGGGTGGGTCACTTCAATTTGCTGCTCCGGTCCCAAATTCTGGTGAATTTTTCTCAGTTGGGATCACGTAGGCAAACTGGGAAGAGGGAGCACTTCATCTTGGAGGGCTGGGATCTGGGGATATTTCTTAGAGTGAGAGAGAGCACTTTGCAGGTGACTGCCTTTCCAGCAAATCCTGAGCGCACCTGTTAATGTTAATGCCAAGCCAAGGATGTGCATGCTCAGATGGTGTCTGTTTAGCAGTGGGGCATTTGGAGAAATGAAGTCTATCACAATATTTAAAAAGCTGGATGAAGGAACAGATGGCTTTGATGAGAGATGATCTGGCTAATGAAATGAGGGTTAACACTTAGATAGAGAAACAGTTTCTTAGGCCCTGTATTTAGCCCATGCATCAGGGTATGGAGCAGCTCCAATGGCTGCTGCTGAGCGATCCCTCACCCCTTTCCTCTGCTGCTCCTGTTTCTAGGTGGGTGGCGGTTCTTGCCAAGCCTCACTCCAGCTTTGGAGCAGAAAGGAGCAGGACAGGAAAATCAGGTGGTAAATCTATTTTCAGAGGAGATATATTCCCTAGGAATGAAAGCAACCTCAAAGCAATTCCCTTTTCCGTTTTCCTCACCTTTGTGTACCTTTCCCCTCCCAAAAACCAGCCCAGTAAAACTGTAGCCAGTCTTCAGTGGTAATATCACCCTGGGGAGGACTGCAATTAGAAGGGAATGAGGTTGCTTTGTTTCTTCCTGAGCTGTGAGTGAGGTCTGCAAGGGCAGGGGTTAGCTCTGCGGTAGTCCTCTCTTTTACATGAAAAATAAAATATCTCTGAGGCCTGATCCTACTACTTGATGTCAGGACATGGGAGCCCAGCCTTCCTACTTCTCTGTTGCTGGAAGAAAGTGGATGCAGAGATGGCACGCAGTTTGCTTCCCATGAAGAGCACTAATGTCGTGAAATTTGGACAGGGAACATGCATGTGCTGTAAGGCATTGGGGGGAGGAAATATTAACAGACAGCAAAGAAAAGCTGTAATTTTGAACATTTCCTTGCATTGGAGCATGTCCCCTTTCTGGGCTACGTGAACTGCCAGGCAGATCCCCAGTGGGTCTCAGCGGCCCAACAGAAAAACCCAGTGAGGACTGGGGCAGGAGAAGTCATGTGCTGCTCACAGCATCCCAGGAGCATTGTCACGTCTGTGCACCAGCATCACTGCAGTCGTGTCTTTGAAGTTACATGGGCTGAGCAGGGAGGGACATCAGTGTCAGCCTCTGGCACACCCACCCCTAGGAAAGCCAGGCGTAACCCCAAACGAGATGGGGGAACATACTTGTGGCTACTCGTCTTTGCCAAGGTAGAGTTGGTGGAGACATGGGAGGAAAGACTCTTTCCACAGGTCAAGGTGAGTTTGCAGCGGGCTTTGGGACGTGCAGCGTTACTGCGAGGGAGGTGTGTGATGTGTTATTGTGGGATACACATTATTGTGTTCAAAAAACACGCCCACATGCCCTACCTGTCTACCTACCTTTGCACCCACACACCCCTTGGCAGGGGGATGCTGCAGGACAAGGTTCACAGGAGAGACACTGCTCCTCCTGTGGGACTGGTGTGCCGTGAAGAAGGGATTGTAAGAAATATCCTCGTGGGCCCATGGAACACCACCCCTTGACAGCTGGTGCCTCCCTGCACCTCTGTTGTGTCCTGCACTGGGTGGGCTCTAGTGCATGTTTGATGTCCCCAGGCTGTGCCCTTTTTTTTAAGCCACGATTTTTTAATTTGTGAGAGGTCTTTGGTGGGCCTGTCAGCATCATGCGTTTTCCAGCACTTGAAGGAACACCATCTGCTCAAAAAAGAGCTGTGAACAAAATGTCTCAGATGCTCAGAGTTTACCAGAAATTAAATTGCTTTAAAATCCCATATGCTGCATTGTTTTCCTTCCAGCTTTGGCTGACGGCAGAGGTGAAGTGACTAAGGCAGTTTCTGATTAGTTGCTGCATTTTCCTTTCTGGCCAAAATCGCTGGGACTGAGTGCTGTCACTTCTCACCTGTTTGATAGAAGGTTTTCTTCAGCCTTGGCTGCTGAAAGCCGGAGGTTACTGAACTCAAAGACCTCCCGTCTGTTACTTCTAAAGTGACCTTGCTTGACTTTTGCTATCACAGGAAGCTTCGAGGTCAGGGGTGTGGTTAATGCTGATACTTCAAGCATACTTTTTTCCAGGCACCTTATTTTGGGGCCTGTCTTGGTGACGTGGGGGCAATGGCACCTCCCTGCCCAAGGAAAGTTGTGCCCAGCAGTCACTTGTCGTGACCTGCAGCTCCTTAGCGTGGCAGTGCCATGCAGCAGCATCAGGTGCATGCAGAGGGAAAACCTGGCCAAGGTCTCTGGATTTTGTGGGGTTGCAAAAAGCAAATGCTGCGAGGAGCCATCTATTAGTCCAGGATAACAGAAGATTTGAAATACCAGAGCAGGAAGAATGTTATTTCAGCTCTAAAAATAGCTCCCTCAGCCTTTAAAACACTGCGAAGCGTACACAGCAGTTGCCTTTCTGCGAGAGTGGCTGTCCTGTCCCTTGGCAGTGCTGCCACCACAGAGATGCATCCACTTTGGTAAGGGCTCAGGGGACCTGCTGGTGCTGCACTTGCTCTGAGGACCTGTGCTTTGAGGGGTTCATAATCCTCAGGGATCAAAGAGATGTGCCACAAGGGCCAAAGCTTCAGGGCGAAGGAGTGTTGCTTGGCTGCTAGAAAGATAGTATATAAAATACTGATAAACTGCTGATGTATAACTTGGCTCAGTTCTGGGGGCTGGTGTGGGTTTAGGCAGGGGTGGCTGTCTTGTGTTGGTTTGTAACTGATAGCACCAAGGCAAAACTTTGAATAAGTGCCACCTTATTTGGGTTCTAGGAGAAGAAACAAGACTGCCAACAAATAACATCAGTCATACTGCATCCTGGCAGAAAGAGAGGGGAGGGAGAAGAGAAAAAAGTGGTAGCGTTCACATTGACTTACTCCCACGCAGGTCAGATGGCAAAGGGATCCCTCCACTTTGGGAAGCGTTCCCAAATGGTTATCGCCGAGCTGTTTTGCTGGGAACATTTCCTCTCAAAATTCCAGCCACAGGGATGCTTTACGGGGACCGCAAAGCCCACCGTCCAGTGGGAAAGGTAAAGGGGGTGGAAGAGGACGGCCTGGCCCAGGCTGTTCCTGGGGTCTCTCGCTACAGGGTGGCTGTTTCTTTCAGGTCTTCCAAAATACTTAGCAACGGGGCACCACTTCCCAGGGGGGCCGCAAAGATGTCACCGCCAGTTTTGGGTGGTGAGCCCTCTTCAGTGCCTCTGGGGGCTTCGGAGCAGAAGGCATACCCAAGAGCCGGACGATGATGGGCAGGTGCTGCTGGAACTGGGGAGGGCGGGCAGGGAAGGGGACAGAGAAGGAACC